TATGCAGTACTAGCCAACCTATGGCTCTGACAGTCAAGACATCAAACCTCTAATGAAGCAGAAACCCTGTATAATTTCAACCAAACATGTTTGCCCTCCCATTCCAAGCAGTGGTTTTATAACTCCAGAGCTGTAAAGTGGTTTTATACTCCAGAGTTGTAAAGGTAACAATCTGCTCCATATGCCTCTCTGGGCTGCAGCCCTCTGCAGGAACACCCTACAAGCCCAATCTGTCTCGCCCTGTGAGAGATTCTACTCACAATATTATCTTCTCTCCAGTCTGGAGAAAGAGCAGTCCCAGCAAGTATTACAAACAAAATTAGCGATTAACTGAATCCTAAAAATAAGTGAGGAAGAAGGACAGCCAGTCATAAGGACACAGCAAAACAAAGGGGTGTCATGGATTCATTTTCCAAAGCAGCAGCAAATACACAGAGGGGAGTGTCATGAAGTGCCAGGGTTAGACTGCAGCCACCATTTCAGAGAGCTCTCTCATGACCACCTTTCCTTGCTGCTATGCAATGCTAATATGTTTTCGGGATATTGCTCTTACCTTTCTTCTGGTAGGCAAAAACCAGGTCTTATTTTGCTATGATGTCCTTATGTCATTCTAAGAGATCAACAAGTCTATTTCAGCAGCAACAGCCTTGCACAGGAAACCAGTTGAGGAGTACATAAGGACAATGTATGGGGCAGGAAGGCCTTGGAGCAAGAGGCAGCAGCAGCAAGCAGTACTTGCAAGGTGGGGAAATGTGCTGTGTGGGCAGAGCAGAGTCAAAAAGTGGGGGAAGGGAGCAGCCCACACTCCAGGGTTGGGGAGGAAAAAAGAAGCAGGTGAATGACAGACTCAGCAAGAGGAAGTGCTTGAGGAGATTGTGAAAAGGAGCAGTCTGCAGCCACACAGGCTGCAAGATGTGATTTGGGAACACAGTGTACCCTGAAAACTGGCTGTCCCTGTAGGAGCAGATCTGCTGCCCGTGGCATTTACAGGGTGGTCAGTGATGGTTTGCGTCCCGCTGCCTGCTCAGCCTGGTCTTCGCTCCCTCCTTGCCTCACAAGAGGCCGTGTAGCACACAACAGCTACAAAAACACAAACAGCACTTGGATGTTGGTGTCCAGGCAACCTTCAAAGTGCACCACTTCACAGCTGAAATGCCTAAATGAAAGGCTAAAGCTCTTTTGAAGGGGGAGTTGAGGTCCCAGTGAAAGATCCTGGAGGACACCCACTGCTCAGTGGAGATGCTGACCGGTGGCAGTGGGAACCATACACTGCAAGCCTCCGTGTACCCTGAAACTCAGATGGATCTCCAGATGTTAACACACATCAATAAACAATGACTATTACAATAAATGGAGGTATAAACAATGGGCTTGTTAAACAGAGGAGAGGCACTACTTTTGTCTTACGAGTAGTATGATCCGAGTATTTTTCACCTAGCCTAGTGTTAGAAATATTTATTTGAAAAAAAAAAAAAGCAGATTTAGTATATTTTAAATGGAAGACACTTCATATTTATTCTTTGCCTTGTCATGAAGCCATTCTCACTTAACACAGGGAGTTAATTAAACCAGCCTTCACTAATCTGGCTGACAATTTAGACAGTAATTAGTGCAACAGGAACAGACAAGACCTTACAGTTCTTTCAAGCCTCAAGGCTGATATGAGCCTCAAGGCCAATTGCTACAAGAATTAACCAACCCTTCTGCACATTCCTCTCAATTCCTTAGGTATAGACCAACTTTTAGAATCAATCCTTCTGGCTTTCCACCCTATACTTTTAATTCTTCCACTGAGAATAAGTGGAGTTAGCAACACCCATTAGTACAGCAGTATTTGTGAAACACAATTTTTGAAGAATTTGCCTTATAATTAAAGTATGTGTGTCAGCATCCTCTTTAGTGGCATTGACAATTAACATTACTAATGATGTCTCATGTCTGCACCCTCTCATATGCTACTTTGGCCCTCTGTTTCAGGTTTTTAAACTGGAAAACACTATTTATTCAAAAGAAACGCTTCTGTATCTTCCTGGAGCAGCTGTTAGCTAAAAGCCATGGAAAAAATTTAAAGCATGTATCTTATCTTTGGTTTATCGACCAGAAATTAAAGCACATAAGGGGCTAGGAACTCTAAATACTGGAATATAGACAGTGTTTTCTCATTATCATGACCCCTGTATGGAAAAGACATAAATTGCAAGAGAGTTGGAGTAACGTAAAGATATTTGGAAAAGTGGTTATTTTTCACAAAATAAATTTTTGGTAAAAGACACTATAGATAGGAGCTGTTTCTAGTCCAGTCCAACACACATTTTGTAATGGTTATGTGACATACCAAAGATGCTGTGTAAAATGAAGGTCTTATTATTATACAAATGGCTATGCCCAAATCTCTAAACATGCTGGATAAAAGCCATTTAAATAATTATCACTGTGAAGTCTTGCAGCATCCCTGTAAAGCCATTAGTGTATGTACATGCCACTCTTCTAAACAATTCCATTGTTTCGTACACAACAAAAAAAAAATTATTTCTTATTACCTGAAAGACTATACATTGCTCATACATTAAATTAACATCTTGTCCCTGTTTCCCTCTGCACTAAAAATATGCCAACAAATATTTTAATGATGGGAAGAAAAATGCACCAATTAATCCAATTTTTAGAAATGAAGAAAAAGAATGACAGAAACTTAGAAATACAAGTCCATTCTTGACTTACATGCAGGAGAGATAAAATTATAGGTAGCCACTAAATCTGTGGGGAAATGCCACCCTTTATTTGTAAGAACTGTAATATAGAACTTCCTTTGCAAAACCATAAGAAAATGTACAGCCTTCCTATATATTCTGTATGTATGTATTTATTTTTCACCATAGAATCACAGAATGGTTTGGTGTGGAAGGGACTTTTAAAGGTCATCTAGTCTAATCTCCTGCAATGAGCAGGGACAACTTGTAAGTTTGAATGAGAAGTTAAAAGACCACAACTCACCAATAAGATGCAACACTGTTTTTAAGATGTGTGGGCATTGATGAGATTCATTGCAATGGATGTACAGAAAAAAATGTTACCATGTTCTGCCCCAGCTCTGAATGATGCAGAAGCAGAAGCATGATGCATGATGCAGGAGCACAGTGAGCAACTGCTTCCCATATCCTGCAGGTGCCAGTCAGAAAGGGAGAGTGATGTCTAATTCACTGCCTGAAAGAGACCCAGGGAGAACACCATACACTCAGCTTCTGCTGGTGAAACTCACTCTGTTATGCTCAATGCAACAAAATGGGAAGGACAGGACATTTAGAGGGAAGTTCTCTGACTGCTCCATGGACAGCTGTGGCTCTTGCACCTTTAGAAACAACTTAGAAATGCTTGGACTTTACCCAGAAGCCTCTCCCATACACTATTAAAAATTTGCTGTCTTTTCTCTGTTGGAGACACACTCTCCCCATCATAATTCTTCATAGTTTGCTTTTTCACATTTTCATCAATTGACTGACATCCTTGCCTTTGATTGGTTACAAGGATTTTAAGTTTCTCTTTGGGTCAGACAAATTATGTCAGAAGCTCTGTCAAAACAAGGAACCTCCTGCAACCTATTATTCCCACTGTGCTCTAAGGCCTTTATTTCCACTCAACTCCCTAGTGGGGAAATATTCTCCCACAGCCCCACGTCAGCCTGCTGCAGGGTGGGATAGTGGCTGCATGTATCACAGCCCAGCTCCTGCTGCACACTGCCCTCTTCCATTGACTTGCTCTGCCATAATAAAAATTGTGTTTTCTTTCATAGAATCAGAGAATATTAGGGGTTTGGAAGGGGTCTTAAAGATTGCCTAGTCTCAACCCCCACCCCCCCCCGGCCATGGGCAGGGACACCTCCCACTAGACAAAGTTGCTCAAGGCCTCGTCTAGCCTGGCCTTGAACACTGCCAGAACTGGGGCATCCACGACCACTCTGAGCAACCGGTTCCAGTGTCTCACCACTCTCTCAGTAAAAAAATTTTCTCCCTAATATCTAACCTAAATTTCACCTCTTTCAGTTTGTTCCCATTATTCCTTGTCCTCCCACTATAGCTCCTAATGAAGAGTCTCCTCTCTCAGGCTTCCCTGTAGGCCCCCTTCATATATTGAAAGGTTGTTACAAGGTCGGCACAACAAATCTCTTCCAGACGGAAGATCTGCAACTTTCTCAGCCTGAAATAATTCACCACCATTTTCCTTCTCCATCTGCAGTTCAGCCCTGAATAAAGCTCTTCTCCAATGGAAAAATTTCAAAGGACATTTTACAAAGTTTTCAACTAATACAGCGAACTACTCAGACACGTTGGAGAGATACAGCAATTCATTATTCTCTCACCAACACAGAGCTGAGTTGCATTACAGCTGTTAGAATGGAGTCAGGATGAAATTACTTCCGAAATGTGATTATAACTCCCAGGTCAAGAACAAATATAGCTCTCTAATATTTCTTCAGGAAAACCTTAAAGGAGAGTAAATAGGAAACACTGTCCCGTTGTTCCCTCGTGGAAAAGTTGCCGCTTTGCATCCACTCCGCAAGACTACGGGCATGTCGTCCTGCAGCAGCGGGACGCGACGTGCTCCGCGGAAGGGCTGCTGGGGGCCGAGTGGCGCCCGGGTGGAGCGGCGGGGCCGTACTCGGGTGCCGCGGGGAACCGCGCAGAGACGTGGCGGGGCTTGCCGGCAGGAACGGCGCCGTCAGCGCCACGGGGAACTGCAGCTGCGCCCCGTGCGGATGTGCGCTCCCCGGGCAGCGGCACAGGGAACACCGCGCCGAGCGCTCAGCGCATCACCCGGCTCAACCGCGGGACACGAGCACGGGGCGAGCGACCACTCAGCACCGATCCCAACTCCGGTTCCGCCTCCGGCCCGACGGCAGCGCCGCCTCCCCGCTCCTCCCTGCCCTGCCCTGCCCTGCCCCGCCCTGCCCGGGCCCGCCCTGCCGGGCTGCGCTGCGATCGCTGCGGAGGGTGTTGCCCAGCCCGGGCAGGGCGGTCCCGAGTGGTCGCCGCTGCGGCTGTCGCCGTGCGGGGACACGCGTGTCCCGCGGTGCCGGGGTGCGGTCCGCCCGGCGCTCGGCCATGCCGGTGTGGCTGCACGCTCCGCGGGGGTCAGCGCTGCCCGCCCGCCTCCGCCCGCCCGCCCGCCGATAAGCCAAGCCATGACCGCAGCGCCCCAGGGGCCAGATCTCAGCTTTCTGAACGAGGAGGAAGCCAGGGCGATTTTCCAGGTGCTGCAGAGGGACGCGGAGCTCCGGCGGGCAGAGAAGGACAGAGTCAGGTACCGGCTTTCACCCCCGTCCTGTCGATGCCCATGGCGCCCGCGCGGAGGTGTGGGGCACGGAACAGGGTTTTTGGAGGGCGCACGGCCCCAGCCGGGCGATGCGGGGAGGCTCTCATCCCGACGGGGAGAGCGGGAAACGGGGTGGCAGGGGGCGCCCCGCAGGGAAGGGTCTGCGCCGGCCAAGGTGGATTGGGGCTGCGGTGCTGCGCGGCGGGGAGAGCTGAGCTCCCCGCGCTCCTGCCGGGGCGGCAGGCAGCGCCAGTGCCTCCCGCCGGCGCTGGCTGCCGCCGGAGCCGTCCGGCCGGGCACCTGAAGCATCGGGACCTTTGGCAAATGCATGTTGTGACAGAGACGGCTCTGAGTCACGGCTCCGGCTCCCCATGGCACCTCTCCTTCCCCGGGGAGGAGGAGGAGGCCGCTTCTGTGCTTCAGCGTGCCGCTGGCATGGGGTGTGGGCTAAACGCCGGTACCCGGGAGACCACGGCGACGGGGAAGTTGTGCCGGACCTTGTAGGGAAACGCAGCAACTCTGCGGCTTTTGGGTCGATCCTAGCAGCTTTTGGAACCAAAGGCAGGCACTCACCTGCCTGAAAGGTAGTTCACAAGAGTCTTGAAAATTACTTAATTGAATTCTCTTTTCCGTATCAAGGTATAGGACACCTCGACCACGTTTCTAGATCGTATTTCCCCTTTATGCAATCATCAAAGCTATTTGTGTTGATAGTGAAAGTAAAGGTCGAGGAATTAATAGAAATTATGCTGGAAAATGAGCCGTTCATTGTTAAAGGTTATAATTTCTTCCCGCAGGTATGAATTTTGGCACATTGTGAAGTGAGAGGCAGTGTCCTCTCAGATTTGCAAGTGGGCACTTTTCACAAGTAATGCTTTCATGTAAGATATAGAGGGAATGTTAATGAGTAACATTTGCGTCAAGTGGATTTTTGTACTGTGTATTTTTTATTTCAGTAAAGTGGATTTTATGATGAGCATGGTTAAATATTATGTGTCAACAATGACTTATAACTAAAACTTGTGTTGGTTTTCTGTGGCATATGCACCTGGACTGAATTAAATTTAGCAATTTGTTTCTTCCATAATTTGGTATTACTTTTCTTTTTCTGATTAATTTCTGTTCCATGTGTCTTATTATTACCCTCCCAAAAAGGAGAAATATTTTGCTGGATATAGGGAATTACATAGCTGGAGGGCTGTAAGTTTAAAACTCCAAAGTTTTTGGGACTAAAAACTTTATAGTTTTAAACTTACAACAACTGAAACAAATGCATTGAAACTTCCAGTGCTGTAGAGAGTCTTGTGAAGCAGTGGCCTGCTTTTGAGCTTGAGGCTTTCACCTGCCCCCAAATTTGTATTTGTTTCTTTGCCTGTGTACTTAGGACTTTGTCAATCGAAAATGTTATTTATGTGAAAGCTGTCAAAATAAACATGGTATAACAGGATATTTCTGGTGATGCTTTACTGAGATGTAGTCTGTTTAAATCTCAGCTGAAGAGGCATTCGCAAGTTGAGCAGAAGGTAGGTGAAGTATTTATGACCAAGGTGCCATACTGAAAATCTAGGTTAAACCCTGGATCTGTCAAAGGTATGTGTCCTTGGGCAAGTTTCCTAATCTCTCCTGGACTTAATAAAAGTACCTTCTTCCTCACTCCACTTGTCTACCTGGTCTTATTTCAACTGTAAGCTCTTCAGGCCACAAGACTCTCATCAGGAGCAGACAGATTCCAGTCTGTGTGGTATTGCCCTGTGCTACTATAATCAAAGTAGTAACAGTGATCACCCTGGAGGGCCAAATCTTGCAGTTCCTATATGACCACAGTGAGCTTCAAAGGCTCTAAACAAAATTGTATTTGTTCCCCTTTGTCCCATATGTCTACCTCTATGTCATTCTTATTACTGTTATTTTGATAATTAACTTCATAGACATTTTTTCGGTATAAAAGTTTTAAAAGAATGCCTGAGAACTGTGGCAGCCCACTCCTGGGATATTTTCTAAGTGTGATTTTGAAGCTATTTGATTGATGCTGTCAATCAAACAAGGCACATAGGAGACACTGTGGAATGGTAGGAACAATTTCATTAAGACTATTCTTTTTGCACAAAGTTAGTGAAGTGAATTGCCCTTCAAATTGCTCTTGAGCGTGGTTTTCGAAAGAGCTAGTTGGAGCTGGGCAGGGCCAGGGAGCAAATCAATAACAACCAGTGGTCAGTAACAAATTGGTGAAGTGTTTTCAGTGACCATCTGTTTTTCCAAAATAGCATGTTCCTGTATAGACCAGGCTAGACTGGACTGACAGAAGGAATGAAGCATTTACTGGCAGACCAAAGTCAGGTTCTAATGACTGTGCTGATCTTGTCCATATTGTTTGATGTCATACAAGCAAGCACATAGCTGTCTGCCAGTCTCTTTAAAGATCAATGAAAGATTGAAATTAATTCCCACTTACAACTCTAGAATCCAAAAAGCAGGAACAAGCTACATTTCTTATATTGAAAAATGTTAGCATCAGTTAATTTTGAAAGATGAAACAAGAAATAAAGTTAAAATATTAATTCTGACATTCTCTGTGGTTTATTGTGACTTCATCAAATGTATTAAGTTTGCAATTATTTCCTGACAAGTGCATTTCTTTTCTTGTTGCTTACCGTCACTGGGTAGAATTGGATCTCTCTTCATCCAGTCAGCCCATGCTTTTGTGAAATTAGGTGTAGGGAGATTTTCTGGGGAAAGCTTGCTTTATTCAGCCTGTGTCATCTTCCTTTCTCTTTGTAGCCTTTGTGTAGAGCAGGAATGTGTGAGTTAGGTTGTCAATCGTACACAGAGCTCTCAGCTCTGCTTGGTGCTTCCCCTCCTGTTGCTCCTGATGCCCCTGCACATTCTCTGGGTACCACTGGCCCTTTCTTGGCCCCCTTGGAAACCTTCAGACCTCTAAGCCTGGCCTGGGACACCTCTCAGTACAGCTTTGTCTTTTATGTAGAAATTAACTGTATGTCTTGTTGGACCTTAATGTATTCTTGCTACGGGCAGGGAGCAGAGCCCTGGCTGTGTCCTGTCCTGCTGGTTCCAAGGACCTCATTTTTTGGCCGGTTCTCTCCTTCCAGTGCCCTCTCGTGGCTCCTCTCAGCAGTACCTTTGAGCAGCCACCACAAACCAGCCTACCTGCCTCCTCCTTGAAACATGTTCAGAGACGCAGCAAGTCAGCTTTGGTATGACTCCTGTGGCTGCTCACTGCTATATACACCGAAAATACTTCAGAAACCTACTAATCACATATTTAATAATTTAAAAGAAAAAATACGTATTAGTTTTGAACTTGGGTAACACTTGCCTTCAGATTTCTTTGCTCATCCAATCCAGTTTCATTCATAATACCAATTCAAATAAAAATTTCACTTATCATACATGTTAGTGTGGAAGACAGATGGAATTTAGGGGTTTTATATAAATTTACCTGTGTTGTTTCATAATAGTATTTGCAGTATTAAGGCAGAAGTCCAACTCAAGTCATGAAATGCTATTTAATAATGGCTAATGAAACTGATGATTTTACAGATGCTTGTGGAAGGAGGTTCCTTGTCACAAATACTTCAGTTACAATTAGATGCCCAGGAGAAGACAGGGAGGAATGCAGCATGTTCACAGTGCAGTATCATGTTCTGATGGCTCCCCAACAATTCAGTTTCCATAAGATCACAATGAACACTTGCATAGTTATTAATACTACAGATCAACTTTCTTCCTGTAATGAAATAGGCCCGAAAACATTTAAGATACTATTTGACTAATGGTTTTCAAGACTTCAGAGTGCACCCAGCTCATCTTCTTAAGCTTTGTCCTGCAGCTGCTAGGGACAGAAATGAAAAAAGAAGCTGACAGGTACTTCTCTTCTTCTGTCATTTACTGATGAAGCAAATGGGCAGGGTGAAGGGAGGCTGACTGCCTTCCATCTCTTCAGGACAGCACTTCAAAGCCTGGGCAGGTAGCAGAGGAACTGGCAGTCCCTGTAGGAAGTCTCAGCAGCATTAGGGCATGAAGCTATGGGATACAGAGGTGGAGCTAATGCCTTTTATCTCCAAGGCAGCTCCTCCCTCTGCGGAGTGTGGAGAGGCAGGCAGTGCCCAAGCAGGTGTCATTCCAGTCAACTTTGCATCTCTGATGTCTCATAGTGTCTGAACACTGAGAGTTGAGATGCACCTCCACCCCTGGAACTGCATCAAGGCCCAGAGAAAGCAGCTGAGTTGAGAAGAGCCAGGAGACATGGAGCCAGCTACTTAGAAGAGGCAACAGGTAGGGGAATGTGGCATGGGAACAAGTAGCAGGTACAGTTGCAGGTGGTCCAAAAAGTGAACAGTTGGAAGATAGAAGAGTTATGGATAAATAGAAAATGCATGTAAAAGGGCACAAAAGCTTTGTATTCTTTAATCATTTTATTTAGGAGACTTGGCTGTTTTATGTAATGCTCCCATTAAAACTGCATGCAATAGTCTTGCGCTGTTTTTGCTCATTAATCCTTGATAAAAAGGGAAATACTGTTATCTTCACTTACAAATTAGATATTGAAAATAACTGAGAGACTGAGCCACAGAAATGGGGAATGAACCTACCTCCCCTAACAGCAATTTACTTTCTAGATGGTGTTTTGATAACTAAATATACATGTATTTAAGGAATTTTTTTTTTTTCAGTAGGAAGAATGGCAAAAAAATAATTGCCAGCTCTAGAACATATCTGGCATATCAGCCACTGCCTATGAATAGGAACTGAAAAAAATAGGAAAGGGAAGGTTTAATTTGTTTTGCTCTTTTCCAGGTTGGTTTATGCTTTTGGGGGGAATTTTACTAGATTTATTTTGCAGATGACTATGAGAATAGACAGCAGCAAAACAAAGGTTTATTTTCATTTACCCTCAAATTTGAAGATGAAAAGCATATTAAATTAATTGGGAGGTACAGTCACCACTACTCAGTGCTCCACTCTTGCTG